CTAGAGCCAGCCCCACATAAGAGCTTTGTGTTAAAGTTTCTGACAATAAAACTATGAAATGAAAACACAGAATGAGTGGACTATATGCTCTCTCTCTCTCTTTTTCTGCTTTTGGACACATGTACTCACTGGAGAGAGACAGAGAAAGAGAGAGAGAGAGAAAATGGGAGAGTGAGAAACCATTCCTAGGAGGGATGACCATGCTCTAGCCTCTTCTTTTCCATTCTTCTCCTGGGATTTTGGGCACACATGCACACATACCTGATGTGTTTTTAAGCCACTAGGTCTGGGACTCAAACTGAGAAGTCAGCCATGTGGGATCCGGCCACCTTGACCTCCACACTACCCGCTGGCCCCATTCTCTTTTTCAAAATACAAAATTGGCAGAAAACAGGAAACATAGAAAAAGAAAATTGATCCAGTTTGGTAACTCAGTTGGCAACAAACTGAACTGCTGTGCTGGAAACCGAGGGGCCGACCACTGTTAATATACTGAATTTGACTTGAAAATACCCGCGTGCATGTGTGTAGGTCCATGATCCGGAGGAGCTACAGGGCTGGTGAAAGAGAAGTGTAATGCGATGAGCCTTTTTTAGGGTGCTTTTCTCTTTTCCTTCTGAAAAAACATGAAAGTGTGTATTTCTTTCTTTCTCATTCGTTTATGTGTACATGTTCTCTATCATGAATAAGATAACCAAAGTAAAAAAAAAGTAAATAAGAAAATAACATATGTATTAGCACTATTGAAAATATCACCCATTTTGACACGTTGCTTTCATGGACTAATACCACCATTTTCCTAATGAGATGTAAATTGAAAATAAAATAATACAAACGAAAACTTTCTTTTTTTTCAAGTTTGCCAGAAGGTACATGTGCTCATCAGAGAGAGAACGTATAAAGCACCCTTTGGGGGGATAGCCACACAGGATCCCTTTTCCATTCTCCTCTGGGGATTTTGGGCAGGCATGCACATGTGCTCAGCATAGTTTTCAAGCCACTGGGTCTCAGACTCAAACCACACAGTTGATCATGTGGCATCCAGCTACCATAACCACCTCACCACCAGCTGGCCCCTAAACTTTCTTTTTATTTCTTCCATGAGTAAGAGAGGTGAAAAGAGAGAGAGAGAGAGAGAGAGAGAAAGACAGCATCCCCAAAAGGGCCATGTCCATCTCCAGCCTGGGTCATGGGCTCACATGTGCCAGGAATGTTCAGAGGCGTCTCAGACTTGAACTGGAACATTCCCATGTGATATTGCCTCAAAGAGTGCAGTATTTTACTGTTGTGCTGTTCTCTGGCCCTGAAACCCCAAATTATCTCGCTCTCTTTTTTAATTTCCAGAAGGTGAGTGCACTTGCCAGAGACAGACAGACAGAAAGGGAGAGGAAGAAAAGAGCTCCCCCCTGTGGGAAATGATCCTCCTCTATTCCAGGACTTTGGGCATGCACACACATGTTCCTGATGTGTTTTCCAAACTCCTGGGTCTGGGACTCAAACTGCACAGTTAGCCATGTGGGATCTGGCCCCTTTAACCTTTAATCCAGGGACTGGCCTGGAACTTTCTATCTTTGATAGATAAGTATGTATAGTTGTATCCATTAATGTTATTTAAAACCCCCAAATATGTGCAGAAATATATATATATTTATATATAATTATACTATGTACATATTTAATATGTACATATACATAAATATATACACATATAAAATATATAAAAATATATTATGTACACATTTAATATATATAAATATATGTATATATGTAAATATATACATATTACATATATACATATATGTTATTAAATAACATTAATGGATACAACTATATATACCCATCTATATACCCATATATATATATATAAAATGTGTCTTGAAGTATATAAGTATCACTTACATACTTATTAATATAAGTGTTACTACTAGACTCTTTTTAAAAAATTATTTATTTAGTTTTATTTATCATTATTATGATTTTTAAATTTGCTACAGGGCACATGTGTTCATCAGAAAGAGAAAGAGAGAGAGAGAGAGAGAGAGAGAGAGAGAGAGAGAAA